ATGTACTTATTGTCATTTTATTATCCATATTTATAGTTTTCTTTCTTTCTTCTTCTTTAAGAATTCCCTTTCACATTTCTTATAATACTGGCTTAGTGGTGATGAATTTTCTTAGATTTTTTTTTTGTGGTTGTTCAGTTGGGAAGCTCTTTTTTCTCTCTGTCAATTCTTAATGATAGCCTTGCTGGGTAGAGTAGTCTAGATTGTACATCCTTGCTTTTCATCACATCTGCTATGTCTTCCAGACCTGGCAGGGTAGTCTCATGTACCAGGTGTCCTGTGGGGTCCTGTGTGGCCCAGTGGCACAGTCTCCTGATCATCTAAACTGGGTGCTCCAGAGGTGTCAGTCTCTCCTGGCCTCCAAAGTTTCTGTTGGAAAATCAGCTGACAGTGCTATGGGAGCTCCCTCGTAGATAACTAACTGCTTTTCTCTTGCTGCTTTTAAGTTTCCCTCTCTGTCTTAAATATTGGCATTTTAATAATGATGTGTCTTGGCATGGACTACTTCTTGGGTTCTTCTCGTTTGGGATTCTCTGAACTTCCTGAACTTGTGTTTCTATTTCCTTCCCCAGGTTAGGTAATTTTATAGTAATTATTTCTTCAAATAGATTTTAATGTTTTGCTCTCTTTCGCTTCTCTTTCTGGTATGCCAGTGGTACAAATGTTGGTAACTTGATGTTGTCTCTGAGGTCCCTTAAACTAATGGCATTTTAAAATTCTTTTTGCTTTTTGCTGCATTTATGGGGTGTTTTCTGCTCCCTTGTTTCCCAAATCACTGATGTGATCCTCTGCTTCATCTTACTCATTGTTGATTCCTTCTAGTGTATTCCTCCTTTTAATTTTAATGTATTCCTCATTTCTAACTGGTTCTTTATTATGGTTTCTGTGTCCTTTTTATTATTTTTTTATTTGTTTGTTTGTTTGTTTGTTTATATTTTTTCCATTACCATTTATCCCCACATACTCTCTTTCACCTCCAGCAAAACCCATCCCCTCTCAATCACTGTGTGTTATGCTTTTTAAAATGTTTTCTATGTTCTTTTTGGAGTTCTGAGTTTATCTACTCTTCCCCTAATTTGTTGAGCAACCTTCTAACTACTGTTCTGAACTCTGTCTGGTAGAATGCTTGCTCCAGTTCATTTTAGTACTATTTCTGAAATTTTATTCTTCTCTTTTATTTCAGTCTTGTTTCTTTATCTTTTCATTCTGACTGGCTCTCTGTGCTTGTTTCTAGGTATTAGGTACATCTGCTATGTCTCACAGACTTGGCAGGGTGGTCTTCTGTTCCAGGTGTGCTGTGGGGGCCCAGCAACACAGCCTCCCTGATCACCTAAGCTGCGTGTACCAGAGGCATTCTTTGTGTGGGCTGTTTCTGCACTCCTATTGGCATTATAGCTGGACTTTGATTGCTGTTGGCATGCCAGTGGTTGGAGTTGACCCTCAGGCTGACTGGCTGCGAGGACTGGCCATGACCACAGCAAGGGCTTACCCCACAAAGCAGATTTACCCCAGTGCTGTTCTGGTGTTTGCTGAGACCACCCTTTGGGTATTTAATTAGTGGAGCTGACTGAGTGGTGCTCTGTTGTCATCTGAAGCTGGCCACAGGGTGTGTTGGTTCTGGGGATTTGGGGGAAGAGTTCTGGTACAGGCTAAGGTCAGCCACATTCTGGGTGTGGCCCAGGGTAACCTGCCAGGAGCTGCAATGTGATCTTCAGTTGGTCACTCCCTGTCTGGGACTGAGGACGTGTGGGATGAGTCACGCTGGGACCTGAGGCCAACTGCCACCAGCGCTGAGTCTGGGGTCACTCAGTGGACCCCACTGAGTGTTTATGAGTGAGTGAGTCTGTGCACAGGCCCTTTAAGAGGATGCTTGGGTTTCCAGCAGCCCTCCATCTCACCCAGATAAAATCCCTGCTGAGTTTGATGGAGCAAGGTCTCAGGGAGTCATCAGGGTGTGGTGAGCCATGTTCACCAAGTTAATGCAGATACAGATTTGGTGTTCACCATCAAACTATTTGGGGGTGGGGGAGGGCTCAACATGGAAACAACAGCAGCTTTTTCCCTGAAGCCACACAATGCACCCCTTCCACAATGCACCAGAATGTCTCTGGTGCCTTTCAAGCTGCTGGCCAGCGGTAAAGTTTGGAGTAAGTATCTTTGATCAGTGTGTCTGTGTGGGGGCCCTTTGAGAGGGGGTGTGTGTTTTCCAAAGCCCTCTATCTCCTTGGGACAAACTCCTTATCAATTTTCATAGGCAGCTGTGTGGGGACTCCACTTCCTGGCACTGGAGCTCCAGGCTGGGGAGCTTCATGTGGGGCTGGGACCCCTCACTCCCTAGGAGGGACCCCTGCAGTCAAGATATTCCTGCCGATTCTCAACATGGGCGTGGGACCAGCCTGATTTGCACCTCTGTCCCTCTTACCAGTTTAGCCATGACTTCTTTCTTTCCTTAGTTATGGGAGCTCTGTTCCGCTAGTCTTCAGATGGTTCTCCAGGCTAATTATTCTATAATTTCATTGCAGTTTTGATGTAATCATGGAGCGAGGGGAGCACAACTTTTACCTACCCCACCATCTTGACCAGAACCTTTGGAGGAATCCCCCTTCACCTTTGATCCTTCACCTTCTCTATATATTTTTTTTAATTTTTTTTTTTTTAGAGAAGCAAAGGGAGGGAGAGAGGGAGAGAGACATCAATGTGTGATTGCCTCTCACATGCCCCCACTGGAAACCTGGCCTGCAACCCAGGCATGTGCCCTGACTGGGAATCGAACCAGTGACCCTTTGGTTCACAGGCTGGCTCTCAATCCACTGAGCCACACCAGCCAGGGCTGACCCTTCATCTTTTGATTATGTCTATTAAGTGACACCCTTGCTGACCTTTCATATATTTTGTTCCTAAGGACAACATGTCAGGAGCCCTCTTTTACACCTCTGCACACCAGGCTGCACTCTGATAATGCTGTTTATGATGGTTATTACTCTCACCTTGTTTATGAGGGCTGCATGCTGGCTTCTGCTTCCCAAATTTTATTATCCCTCTTGCTACTATAAAGTTCTGTTCTGTAACAGGACCTCCTGTTTTCTGCTCTGATCTCTGTGGTGATGCCCACCACATGCATTTCAGTGATGCAGTGTTCCTTCACCAGTGCACTTCTCACCAGTTCTTCTGAGGATCCTAGTTGGGTTCAGGGTTTCTAGCTTAGATAGGAGACACATCCCAGTGTCTCCCCTATTCTGAGGTCTATGGTCCCTAACCCCACTGGAACGGTGTCCTGCAACTCAATTCTGAAGCTCACCATCCAGAGTTGGCACATTTTCCAGTGATTAAGAGCAAATTCCTTCATAATAGTACCCTGAAATCAACATTAGCCTCACATTTGGAGTTCCCAGGCCACTCACACTTTTGTCCAATGAGCTACTTCATGGGTATCCATAGTCTTCTTAGGTTGGATATTTTGCTGAAATGACTCATAGCACCACACAAAATGCTACTGTTATAATTATAGTTTTACTACAATTTGGGACAAGGTAAAGGGAGAGAAATGTAGGGACAGATTATTGAGAATTCATTCCACTGGCAAAGCAGCCAATGTCCTCCCCCAAAGGAGGCAGGACACCTCATGCTCAGCCACATCAATGGGTTTAACAACCACCAGCTCATCTGATCAGCACTGTCCAGAGTTTTCATCGGGGCTTCATTACATAGGCAGACGTGATTGACATGGGCCATTATCTCAAACTCAATCTCTATTTCCACATCAATTTCTAGATGGCAAGCTGGCTCAAAGCACAACCTACCAACCACACAGGTGGTGTTCTGAGTGAGTCATACTGTAAGCACTTTGTATTAGATGGGATACAAGGAGCGCTGAATACAAATTGTTGTTAAAATTTAAGGGAGAAGATAGATCCAATCATGAGGCTGACAACTTCAACTTTACTGCACCAGATAAGGAGAAAACACCTTACATGCTTGCCCCTGGTAGGGTACCAGCCTGTTACAGAAATCAGACTGTCTCTGAGGGGATTTATAGGAAGCAATCTGCATTCTGGACCAGCTCTAGCCTGAACACCCAGTAGTAGACACATCATGGAACCGTCTCTGGTCCACCCTCCACCCCTTGTGACCAACTCTTACAATCTCACACACCCCCTCTTCCGCAAGGTTCCCTGAGTGGTCAGCGAAGGGCTTCATTAGCAGGGACCACAAGGGAGACACAGTCTACACAACAGAGCGGACACATGAAGGAGAAAGAAAAATTAACAGAAGCAATCCAAGTATTAGTAAACATTTTTGTACCACAACATTGTGCCTACACACAAATACACAAACATATCTTTCTCCCTCTCTCTATCGCACATACACACAGGCCATTCTGATGAGGCAAGTGATGGTCCAGCGTGCTTCACGTCCTCTCAGCTTCATGTCATTTTGGCTGCATGGTTGAAGGGCAGCAAATCTCCCAAAGCTGGGATGCCTGAAGGCCGGGATCTGTATCTTTCGGATTTAGTTCCCAGGATTCTCATACAAGCATGCTGTTCATCTACAAGATGCATATTAGTCAGAGTTAGTACTTACAGAAATGATGACAAAGGAGTGGTGAGGTGGGTTACAATTTCCCACCATTACAGTTCTCCACTGTTACACATGTTTCTATGTGGGTGTGTATCAGTGTGTTAAGGGCATTAGAGTGAGGACACCCAGATATAAAACTCAAGGGACACAGGAACTCACAGGTTAGGATGGGGGGACCCGATGGACAGGCCAACAGGGGACAGGGAGCAGGAAAAAGGTTGAGAGAGAGATTCAAACATCCATGGGGCTAGAATTCCAGAGAGTGAGCAGAGACTGAAGGATGACATGAGGACCCTGGAGAGAGAGAAGGCTGAACTTGAGTGCGGGGGCCATTTCAATAAAGGAAGTGTTGGGGCGTGAAGCAGAAGGTTTCTAAACTCTTGTGCCGGAAGGGTGAAGAGCGGGCTTGAGTCAGTGACAAAATAAGTCACAGGTAGTTTCCAGAGGCAGCACAGCAGTTAGTTTCAGTTCTGAACCCGCTGAGGAGCACACAGTTGCTCTCAAAGCTGGGTCTGCGCCTCGTGGTTGCAGCATCTCTGGTTGTGCGTAGGCAAGCTAATGTGGACCTTCAAGAGCTTCAAGATGTCCTTCAGCCAGGCTTTCAACTTATCCAGATGCCAACATCTCTGAGTAAGTAAGAGTTACTGAGGCTCCCACTGGAGTCTGAAAAGTAGCTTACCTACTGGGAGTGGCTAGGGCCAGTGAAAGAGGGCAGGAAGACCTTAGAACGTTCAGAACCCAGAACAACATAAAAATGTGGAGGGAGTGGTACAAAACTCAGAAAGAGCTTAGAGCCTGCAGAGCCCAGAATTATCTAGAAGATCTGGGGTGCCAGGCACCAGATGAATCTAGACGAAGCAGATGTTGATGGGGTGGGTGTTGAGGGCCAGGAAGAGCTGCTGGGAGTGTGCTTAGCCCAGAAGATTCTAAAGAATGGGATGGGGCTGTGATCAAGGGCCAGAAAGTCTGGGAGTGTGGGGCACCCACAAGAACCCAGAGAAAGAAGGAAGGAGGTAAGGGGATGAGAGGGGAACTATTCTAGATAATTGAGGGGTGAATCTTGAGGGTAAAATAATTTTACCGGGGTTGGGACTACTTCTTCACAATTCCTTTATGCAAAATGTTGCCTTAGCATACCCCCCCCACCCCCCAGTTTAAACTGCAGGTCTAGCATGCTCCTTTAGTAGGGCTTGGGCTTGTCCAAATCCACACCATTCCCCAACCAAGTTCTGTTTTTTAAACTTCTGGGGATCCTCTGCAGCACAGAGCTTCATCTTCCCTCTGTCCTGATGCTAATTTGTGCCGCCGAGTCTTCCTGCCCCAAGGACCCTCCCGTGGCCACTTCACTGCTCTGACTTCCTCCTGGTGGCCACGCTGCAATGACTCCTCCTCTGGAAATGCCCCCTCACCAGAGCCCAAGATCTATACTTAGGGCGCCCCCCTGCTGCTCTTCATAATGAAGCAGGAGGCTTTCAAAGCCTTCTCTAGGCTCCACTCCAGAATTTCACCTCTGAGCCCTCCCCTGCCCAGATCTCAGATCAGTGCACTGCCCCCTGGTGGCCACATTATGCTGACTCCTCCTCTCACATCCAGAAATGCTGCCCCACCAGCGCCCAGTATCTGCACTTCCTGCTCTTCATCCCGAGGAAGGAGGCTTTCACAGCCTCCTCAAGGCCCCACCGCAGAGTTCCACCTTTGAGTGAAACTCCTCCTCCCCTACCGGCTGCCCTCCCCTGCTCACAGTCCAGATCAGCGCACTTCCTCCTGGTGGCCCCTCATATCCAGAAATGCGCCCCCCTCCCCCAGCGCCCAGTAACTGCACTTATGGCGCCCGCTCCCGCTCTTCATACTGAGGCAGGAGGCTTTCTCAGCCTCCTCAAGGCCCCACCGCAGAGTTCCACCTTTGAGTGGAACTCCTCCTCCCCTACCGGCTGCCCTCCCCTGCTCACAGTCCAGATCAGCGCACTTCCTCCTGGTGGCCCCTCATATCCGGAAATGCGCCCCCCTCCCCCAGCGCCCAGTAACTGCACTTATGGCGCCCGCTCCCGCTCTTCATACTGAGGCAGGAGGCTTTCTCAGCCTCCTCAAGGCCCCACCGCAGAGTTCCACCTTTGAGTGGAACTCCTCCTCCCCTACCGGCTGCCCTCCCCTGCTCACAGTCCAGATCAGCGCACTTCCTCCTGGTGGCCCCTCATATCCGGAAATGCGCCCCCCTCCCCCAGCGCCCAGTAACTGCACTTATGGCGCCCGCTCCCGCTCTTCATACTGAGGCAAGAGACTTTCTAAGCCTCCTCAAGCCCGACTCCATAATCTCACCTTTGAACCCCCCCCCCATCCCCTAAATCCCGTGCAGGCTCATTGCACTCGCCCCTCTTACCCCCATGGAGCTGTCCTCCCCGCTTCGTGGGTTCCCTGCAGATCAGGATCTGGCTCTGCCCCGGCTCAGAGGCCAAATCATTGCCCGGACTGCCCCAGGGCGGCCATGTTATGTTGACTCCTTCCCTCGAATCGCGAAATGCCGTTGCCGCCCCCCCCTCCCCGGGCCTTCCCCGCCAAACACAAGCACCCAGTTCGTGCACTTCTGGTGCCCTCTCCTGCTCTTCATCGCGGGGCAGGATGTTTTCAAAGCCTCCTCAAGGCCCCGCTCCAGAATTTCAGGTTTCAGCCCTCCCCACCCCCAAAGCCCCATACAAGCTCAAGCACTGGCACCTCTTGCCCCATGGAGCTGTCCTCCCGGCCCTTCCTGTGCTCCCTGCAGATTTGGGTCCCTCCCTGCTCAGAGCCCAGGCCACTCACCCGAAAGTGAGAAGGGAGTCAGCACAGACCAGTCCTGAGACCATGTTCCAGTCGGGCAATCCTTCCTTCTCTCGGTTTCACCTTCATCTTCTTTGTCAGGGGGGTAGAGTTAGTCCCACGATGAAAACAAAGTTCAGAATGAAAATTTACCGCCGGTGGTTGTTGAATCCGCGGTGGAAGAATTAGTCCAGGCAGCCAAGACAGGACTCTGTGTGTCTTACTTGGCTGTGTGTGTCTATAATAGGGCAGGTTGTCTTTAAGAATTCACGAGCACTGGGTAAGCATAAGTCTGGATTCATGGGCAGAAATTAAACCAAAGTCTCTTGTGCTGGTTGGCGACAACACATCATCTTTCTGAAGAAATGTGTGATGTTTCTTTGTAAACTTTGCACATCCACCAGGTAGTATGCAGCTGAAGGTGTCTTGCGAAGTGCAAGTATTAGCACCCTTTTTATTAGAAATGGACACAGTAGGTCTAATACTGTTAGGGCCCGCCCCATTCCATATGTCATTAATTTCTCTCTGACAATTTTCCAAATCTTATCTGTGAGAAATTCAGCCACTATACTCACTGCATACTCCATGACCTCGTCCATTCAAAATAAAATGAGCGGCTCCAATGAAACAGTGCAATGCTTGTTTTCGTTGTTATCAGTCCAAGGTATGGCCTCACTGTAGGAGAGTTGGCCTTTTCATGGAGAAGCACTGGATCTGCCACTCTCCCATAAAGGGGTGGCACGCACTCTTGGCCAATGAGTGTGGGCTACATTGCCAAGAACCACCTGCGGTCCAAAACTACTTGCTGCACCAACTGGATTGAGGTTGAAGCTGACCAATGGGGCAAATGCTGGAGGGAGTAAGAGGCAAGGGAGCCTCCTACAGTGGGGGTGGGGTGGGGGCGGGCTGCTATATAGAGCTGTGCAACTGCAGAAGCAACCGCAGAGGCATCATGTATAGCGAGTGAACATTTCAAAGTCATTTTAATGCTGTGATGGGCTAAAGACTGGTCCCCCAAGAGCCTGGCTTTTCCCTTACAAGTGGAAGCCTGATGACAAGATAGAGACCAGGAAGGCCGCAGCAGCCCTAACCGCCAGCACTGTTCTAACCCCACATACACTTTCACTTCATCCTTACGGAACAAAATTACACAGCTTTCGAAGGTATTCTGCCATAACTCGCACACACTGTCTATTGTAACAACTCCTGAACAGCCATCAGCATTTGCACTGCAGTGGACGAAAGATCCTGCCTGCTGCCAGCTGCCCCACGGCCCCACTACAGACTCACTCCCCCAAGCCCCACCTGGGCATCCACCTCAAGGCAGATGTTTGTGTTGTCACGTGTGTGCTTTGTTTGATATTTTCACAAACTAGGTGTGTCCGCATGAAAGAGAGTTCACACACAGGACACAGGAATTGAGAAATGAATTCTACCATGTGAGTTGGCTTGCTTTTTGCTTTTTGCTATGTTGGTTAGTGAGCATAGTTTGAATCCTAGAGGACCTGAAAAAGATGTAAGTACATGGTTGGAACCCGAGCTGGCAGCAGGGAATGACGTGGAGGGAAGGGCTCCTGTGCAGAGTTAGGATGAGAGAATTGGAAGGCCAGGGAAGGGTTTGGGTTCTTGGATGTATCTGGGATCAAGGGGACCTACTGTTTCCATGGAGAAGGGCTTTTGAACGGGGCTCAGGATGTGTCTCAGTCAGGGGCAGATCTACCATTTAAGGGGGAAGCAACCGAAATCAGTGCAGTGAAGTCGAGAGTGTCATCCTTTCAGACATGTACACTGCATCAAGTGTGAGGTGTGTGTTAGCACCTGATGGTGGGCCCAAAGCTTACTTAGATTGGGTGTTTTCAGGCCCTAAACCACATGCCTATGTTGCTAAGCCATGTATAACACACTCATGTCCCCTCTTATAAATAAGGAAAAATATTTGTTTTAAGTTTTTACTATGATAACTTTGAAACATACAAGGGAAAGAATAAGAGTCATATACCCACCATGAAGAGAAATTTTTCATATTATTGGTTATATTTGCCATGTATCTATCTGCATCTACCTAACTAACTTCTAAATTTTAAATCTGTTTTTCAGTTTTTCTCTGGAACATTTACAAATTAATTACAGAAATACAAAAACTCTGTCCTTAATTTGTCCACCTGCTTGTCTTCAGAAGGTGAGAGTTTCTTTTTGTAACCATAATTCCTTTCACGCACCTAACAGAACAGTAGTTTGTTCATGTCATCTAATACCTAGTTCACATTCAAACTTCTTCACCAGTGTGTGGCTATTTCAAACAGCAGCAGTAGGAAACCCAGACACCCAGACACTCACCTTTCTGAAAGAGTATGTTAAAAAATGTAGGTTAGCAACTTGATTGAGTATAGCTCACCCACATGAAGTGCGCATTTAATCCTTTCAGTGTATTCACAGTTGTGAATCCCTCACTGCCCTCTGATGGGGACATTTTCAGAGTCCCCAAAGAATCTCCAAACCCATTTGAGTCACATCCCAATCCTCCCACCCTCCCATTCCTGGCAATTGTGAATCCACACTGTGTTTTCTGGATTTGCCTGTTCTGGTCATTTCATATAAGTGAAGTCATTTATGTAGTATGTGCCCTTTGTGTCTGGCTTCTTCCACTGACTGTTTTCAAGGTTCATCCACATCCTAACATGTACAGTTTTCCATTCCCATATATAAATGAAGAGTATTCCAGTGTATGGACACACAACAGTTTGGTTTTCCATCAATTCCTTGGTGGATATTTGAATTGTTTCACTTTTCGGCTTTTGTGAATAATGTGCTATGTACACTTTTGGTGGGAAATCTGTTTTCCTTTCTCTTGGGCATATGCCTGGGGGTGGAGTTGCTGGATCCAAAACTCTTCTGAAGACAGAGAATCTGCCAGAACACTATCCAAGCAGCTCATTCAGGAAGGGAATGAGGATTTCCTACTAACTGTCTGTGATTCTGGCCAATTCAGAGAGTGTGCACTGGAATCTTGTTGTAGTTTTTATTTGCATTTCAGTTATGACTAATGATGTAGAGCATTTTTCTGTTCTTATTGGTCTTAGGCATGTCTTCTTTGGACATCTATTTATTCATATGCTTTGCAGATTTTATGCTGAGATAATTTTGTTTTCCCTATTCTCAGTTCTGCATGTCATTTAGCATATATTCTTGGTACAAGTCCCTTATACGATAGATGGTTTGCAGATTTCTTTGCCCATTCTGTGGGTTTTTCTTTTTATTTCTTTAATGAGGTTCTCTGAAGCACAAAAAGTTTGATGAGGTCCAGTTTATCCATTTTCATTTTTTGTGCATGTCCCCATATGTTTTGTGACATTTTTGTAGTCACGGTCTAAGCACGGGCTTCACAGTGCATGTGATATCAATATAGAAAGCCCTCCTTTTGCTGCAAACTTGAGTCTCTGCAGGGCCTAGGTGGGTGGTCTGGGGGCCCTTGTCTGGGTCTGTCTGGAACTTATTTCATAGTATCTCTCTCTCTTTCTCCTTTGTGTGGCCCACTTCTGTAAGCTGCAGGCCTAAATCCCATGGCATTCATTGAAATGTTCAGGGGAGGCCCCATGGATGAAGCCCCACGGGGAAACACACCAAATGGCAGCATAGACAGTACCAAAGAACCAGGTTGCCTGTAGAGAATTGAGGGGGAGTTCCTCCCAAAATATGTTCACATCCCACTTCTGGAACCTGTGAATGTGACCTAAGTTTGAAATGGGTTATTTGACAATATAATTAAGTTAAAGATTTCAAGATGAGATTATACTGGGTGTTCTGCATGAGTCCTAAATCCAATGATATGTTCCTTCTAAGAAACAGAAGATGAAATGGCACGCAGAGGAGAAGGCCATGTGTAGATGGAAGCAGAGATGGGAGTGATGCAGCCACAAGAAAGGAATCCCAGCAGCCACTCAGGATGGAGAGAAAAGGAATGGAATGTCTCCTAGAACCTGTGGAGAAAACGTGGTCTTGCCCATACTTTGATTTGGATTTCTGACTTCCAGAATGCCAGAGAATAACTTTTTAAAATATTAAGCCATTTAATTTGTGGAAATTTATTATTTCAGCCACAAGAAACGAATGTACTCTATCAGTCAAAACAAAACAAAACAAAACAAAACAAAACAAAACTCATTTCCAGTACAAATAGAGAGTTCTGTCTCCCAGTATTAACTTCATAGCCCCTCAGTTCCTGTGGGAACCTGATGGGACACCCAAGTGTCTGCAGGTGTCAGACACTTAGGTGTCCCAGCTGCACTGCTGCATCCCCTGCCCTGTTCCTGCGCTGACCCACTGTATTGTCTGAGACACAAAGGCAGTCACTGACTGTCTGCTCCTTCCTACCCTGAGATGCAGGCACCTCCTGTGCAGAGGGGCTTCCCTTATCCCTGGACACTCATTCCTGCTGGGGAAACAGGACCCAGGCTGGACACTGTTCTTAAAAACCATGGCTTTTAGGGTAAGGAGTTGGTACTGTCACCTCCAATAAAGAATATTTAGGGATGGCTTTTGAGTCTCTTTCATAGTATGATTGTGGTTTTTATAAACACAATGAATGTGTTTTATTTATTCTTTTTGATGCTAAAAGAATCTGAAATATTTTTAACTTTGTGTTTATTGTTGGCATTATTACAGATGTTCCCATCTCTCTCCCTGCACCCACCTCCACCTGGCCCCCACCCTCATTCCCTCTGGCCATCACACACTGTTGACTGTGTCTGTGGGCTATGCATACCTTTTCTTTGGAAAATCCCTTCACCTTTTATCCAGTTGCCCCTTTCCTTTCTCATCAGACAGCTGTCAGCCAGCCTGTTTTATGTGTCCATGCCTCTGTTTCTACTTTGTTCATCAGTTTATTTTGTTCATTAGAATCTACATGGAAGTGAGATCCTATGATATTTGTTTTTTTTTTCTGACTGGCTTAGTTCACTTAGCACAATAATCTCCAGGTCCATCCATGCTGTTGCTAAAGGTAGAAGTTCTTCCTTTTTATGGTCTCAGAGTATTCCCTTGTGTAAATGCACCACAGCTATTTTATCCAACCTTTTGCTGATGGACACTTGGGCTGTTTCCAGATCTTGGCTGTTGGACATAATGTGGCTATAACTATAGAGGTACAAGGTGCACATATTCTTTCAAATTGTTTTTTTTTTTAATTCTTAGGATATGTTCCCAGAAGTGAAATCACTGGGTCAAAAGCAATTTCCATTTTTAATTTTTGAGCAAACTCCATACTGTTTTCCCAGTGACTGCACCAGTCTGTGTTCCCAGCAACAGTGCAGTAAGGTTCCATTTGTTATTTGTTGATTCACTGATGGTGGACATTCTGGCAGGTGTGAGAGGATACCTCATTGTGGTATTAATTTGCATCTTTCTGATGATTAATGATTTTGAGTATTTTTTCATATGTCAGTTGGTCATCTCAAAGTCTTCTTTGGAGAAATATGAATTCAGGGGTTTTGCCTATGTTTTAGTAGGAATTTTTTGTCTTCCTGCTGTTGAGTTGTATAAGTTCTTTATGCATTTTGGATGAGAATCCCTTATCAAGAGTTCCCTTCCAGAAATACAGCCCTGGAGATGTTCATCACAGAGAGAAGGACCAGTCAGATGGGAATGACCTAGCAGAAAGAGACCAGTCTCAGTCCAGCTCCCTGGACCCTCCACATGACAATGACCCTGAGAAAGACCCTGCAGGTCTTGGTCAGTGCCTGGACTGAGGAGGCCCTTGGGATCCTCACAGAGAAGCTCAGCCCAGGAGCCCCTCCCCAGAACCCTGTCCCAACCATGCTGGCTGCAGAGATCCTGGGCAGGTTTGTGTCAGGGCGGGTTCGGTCTACTGGGGAGCTCTATGCCCAAGGCTCCTGAGCTGGTCACTGGTGAGGGCTCAGCCCCAACAGCCACATTAGGGCAGAGATGGAGCCTCGTCCTTCACCTGAGACAGTGTGTGGAGGGCACAGGTAGACAAGTTCCCAGGACCTTTAGCTGAATGCCCTGGGGGACACAGAAGACTCCAGTGGATGGTCAGCGTACCCACAGAGGAGCAGGAAATATGTTCCTGACAGCTACTCCTCCACCAGGAAACTACCTAGAGATTTTCTGTCTTTGAGAGAAATAGTATCAGTTGCCATTTTGGAGGCAGCTTCTCCATACTAAATTTTGGTCAAATATTTGAGGATGTTTTAAGGTTTATTCACAGACCAAATGAGAATACATAATCCTTTTTACCATTTGTTCCGTATTCATCCAGGGGAAACTGAGGCTTGGTGTGATGCAGTCATTGGATCAGGGTGACACAGACCATGAGCAGCAGATCAGACACAGCAAGGATCTTGTATAAGCAGAGCTTGACCCTCTTGCCCACCTCGGGGGTCTGTGGGCCCCAAGACCAGCCATTGGTTCAGGTCCCTTCTTCTTAGACATCCCCACTCGAGGTAGATTTTCTGGTCTGGGGAGTGACAGCAAATAGAGAATTAATTAATTTTTACTCTGCAACAAAATTACCTTCGTGAACATTCAGAGTCCATGCTGGGAACACCCAGACTTCCCCCTCAAGTGGCCGATCCACACCTTTTTGCTCTGGACTTGAAATCACTTACTTCTTTCCTGATGTGTTGGCGTCACTCCCACTGGATATGAAGGAAAGGACAAGCCCCTTTTTTTTTCACTCCTCACTCTACACTCACATCCAGCTCAGGGGCCAGCACTCAATTGCTCATTCATGAAGGAGGGAAGGTGTGGAATGTAAATAAATAAAGGAATGAGTGACGCAGAATCTCTTCACAGACTGGATAGAGTGCTAGGAGATTTTGGACATACCTGCTCCCTCTCCCTCCAGGGCTGAGACCCAGGCTCCATATCTATGACCACGTGTCCCAAATGCTTCCCAGGAGCCAAGTCTCCTACTGGCTCTGGGGCTGTTGGGATGTGGGAGGGTTTTCTGGGCTGCACTGGACCTGCCCTGGGGCAACTGTGGGCTCTCGGTTCCTGCAGGGGTTTTTGTTGTTGCTGTTGTTTTTGATTTGTTTGTTTTATCCTTACTGAGGAGTGCTTATTGATGTTAGAGGCAGTGGAGGAGAGGGAGAGACAGAGGGAGAGAACAGAGAGACACATTGATATGGGGCCTCTCACATG